TCACTCTACAGTAACAGTAAAGACACTCTACAGTAACAGTCAAGTCACTCCACAGTAACAGTAAAGACACTCTACAGTAACAGTCAAGTCACTCCACAGTAACAGTAAAGACACTCTACAGTAACAGTCAAGTCACTCTACAGTAACAGTAAAGACAGTGCTTGGTGATGTTAGGTGTAGGCCAGAGCACAGAAGCCTCACAAGTTACATCTTATTATGAGTGGAGTAGCTGGTAGTGCCGCCACCCCTTGTCCACGGTCACAAAAATGCCTATGTTAAAAAGTTTCCTCAAAATGATCACAAGAGAAACACGACACTTGCTCACCCCAGCTATGAGACCGTGACCAACATCCACAATAGAGTCAAAACATTACACCGAGATTCTAAAGGAAGTAAATTTTTTTTCAACCTGTACATGCAAAGAAAGAGAAGAAAATTCAACTTTGATATTTTTGAGAACTGGAGTTGGGATGTGAGTTGTGACCTAAGGGAAACCCACAAGTGATGTCGTGTTCCGTATAAGGCCATGAACACCTTAGCACACAACACCTCGTTTAGGGAAGACCTGCAACACTACGTGGACACCTTTTACCACATACTCGAACACTGGCATTATCATACAGTACAGACCTGTACATGGTACGTATAAGAGTAAAAGAAAGTAAATATCGCCAACAACCTTGTATTTATATCGTTATCATCTTTTGACCATTCACCTATTGAGTACGATGATCTGAACCTGTTGAGTACGATGTCTTAATCCCTTGAGTATGATATCTGAACCCCTTGCACTTCAAAGAGGATGTTAGAAATTTTTAAATATTTATTATAAAAGGTCGGTATAAATATGCACTTATATACGCGCAGTCCGGGGAGAGGTAAAACGCTCAGGGGAACCAATCAGCTATAGGCGAAGGGCGGGGCTTATGAGCCAGCTTAGCGTGGAAATAGTATAACTCCACTTATGGGCAACCATCTGGCCTCTCAAACACCCCAAATTTAACCAGGGAATAAACAAACAGCTCCATCCTTAACACACAGATGTAGAAACATGAGAAAATCTATGACTACACCACAACACCCATGATGCACTACCTCTCTTAAGTACTGTAATTCACCTCTTATATGGAAGTACAGTATGTAATAACCTTTCACTGTCTCTCTTTCTCTCTCTAATGATTTATCTGTGTGTGTGTGAGTCTGTGTGTAAGAGAGATACCAGTGATGGTACCCCATGTGTACTAATGGCCCCTTAGTCACAGAGGACCCTCTCCCTCTCCCTCACTAACTTTAGCTTTTCATTTTAAATTAAAAATTTCTTCTGTGTTAGTTGTGTCTCAGAGTATCCTTAAAATCCATCCACAATATTAAGCTATTTTGGGGAAATTAAAGTCTACAGAACCATATACTGTACTGTAGTATTAATCCATGTTGGCGCACTACCTCCTACCGATGCCACATAAACAGTTCACCTGAGCATTGAACGCTTCATGCACAGGAACACACAAGAGCTTCACAGCAACTGTTCCGTACACACTAACACTTCCAGAGACTGCTACACTAAGGTACAGTACATATATGATTTATTGTGGATAAGTTGAACCAACCAAATTTACTTAAGCTAACCATCCTAGGATACATTATTTATGGTTATGTTAAGTGAGATAAATTAATTTAGGTTAGGTTAAGTGAGATAAATTAATTTAGGTTAGGTTAAGTTAGATAAATTTAGGTTAGGTTAAGTTAAATTAATTTAGGTTAGGTTAAGTTAGATAAAGTTAGGTAAGGTTAAGTTCCATGGACAAAGTTAAGTTACAAAGGATAAGTTACAAAGGATAAGTTACAATGTTGAGTTACAAAGGATAAGTTACAATGTTAAGTTACAAAGTTAAGTTATAATGTTAAGTTACAATGCTAACATTATTGGCCAAAGGAAGGCTATAGGTAGAAGGATAAATCGTGGCAAAATTTACCTCCGGGATTATTATAAGGTATTGGCCGGTAGGGTTAAGACCGAGATAAGGAGAGCAAAGAAGAATAATGAACTGAAGATAGCAAGGGAGGCGAAGACAAATCCAAAGCCCAAAGGATTCTACCAAATGTATCAAACTAAAACACGAGATAAGATTGGACCAATACAGTCAGATACCGGCGAGCTAACTGATAACGGCGGAGAAATGAGCAATAATCTGAATAAATATTTTTCAACAGTTTTCACCACCGAAAATTTAAACATGATACCCAAAAAACCGACTCTATTCAGAGATAGTGAAGAAAACAAATTAAGCGAGATAGTAGTGACTAGTAATGATGCTAGTAAGCAAATGGATAAACTAAAGCCTAATAGGTCACCTGGTCCCGATGAGATATTTGCCAGAGTATTAAAGGAATGTAAGGAAGAGCTTAGTATGCCCTTAGCAAAGTTGTTTAACATGTCCTTAAAAACAGGTGTAGTACCAGAATCCTGGAGGATAGCGAATGTAATACGATTTTCAAGAAGGGGGATAGATCACTATCCTCTAACTACTGCCCAATCAGTCTAACATCAATAGTAGGCAAATTACTGGAAGAAATCATTTCAAATTCTATTCAAAATCACCTGGAGAAGCACCAATTGATCAATGATTCCCAGCATGGCTTCACAAGCGGGCATTCATGTCTAACTAATCTATTAACATTCTTTTCATCAGTTTTCGAATTGGTGGACGAGAGGCACAATTATGATGTGGTATATCCCGACTTAAGCAAAGCCTTCAACAGTCCCCCACGAAAGACTAACTAGAAAGATAGAAGAATATGGCATCAGAGGTAATATCCTTAAATGAATTAGGGCGTGGTTACAGGACAGGAAACAGTGAGTGAGCATTGACGGCACTAAATCCCATTGGAGCAACGTCACAAGTGGAGTTCCCCAAGGCTCAGTACTTGGACCATTATTATTTATTATATACATAAACGACATAGATATCGGCATAGATAGCAACATAAGTAAATTTGCTGATGACACTAAAATAGGACGTGTTATTAAATCTGACAAGGACTCCACAAAACTACAGGAAGACCTAAACAAATTTTTCGAATGGTCTGAAAAATGGCAGATGGAATTTAACGAGGACAAATGTAAAGTACTCAGTATAGGAGATGTAAACAGGGAAACCAGTTACCAGATGAACAACGAAGCCATTGAGGAATCCGACTGCGAGAGAGATTTAGGAGTAATGATAAATAGGAACCTTAAGCCAAGTAAACAATGTGTATTTGCTCGAAACAAGGCTAATAAAGTACATGGGTTCATACAAAGGAGTGTTAGTTACAAGACTAGCGAGGTCATCCTAAAACTATATCTTGCGCTTGTGAGACCTCACTTGGATTACGCAGTTCAATTCTGGTCACCGTATTACAGAATGGATATAGAATCCTTGGAAAGAATTCAGAGGAGAATGACAAGGCTAATCCCAGGCATTAGGAACCTTGAGTACAAAGACAGGTTAAAGCATCTTAATTTGCACTCCCTCGAGAGACGCAGAGTGAGAGGCGATATGATAGAGGTGTATAAATGGAAGTCAGGGCTGAACAAAGGGGACATTACAAAGGTACTCAAACTATCCAACCGGGAGCGAACTCCTAACAATGGTTTTAAATTAGACAAATTTAGATTTAGGCGCGAAATAGGTAAACACTGGTTTGGTAACAGAGTAGTGGATGAATGGAACAAGTTACCAAATATCATCATTAACTCGAATACGCTGGATAGCTTCAAACATAGGTTGGATGCTTATATGAGCAATAGGGGTTGAGTGTAAATGGGACTGCCCAGTATGGGCCAATAGGCCTGCTGCAGTTTCCTCCATTCTTCCATTCTTATGTTCTTATGTTCTTAAAGGTTAAGTTAAGATAGGTTTGGTTAAGTAAGGTATGGAAAGGTCACATAGAAGTATTTAGTTGCTTAACATTCAGCTGGTCGCTGTGAAAAATTTGTCAGCAACTGAAGAGCCACACAAGGCAGTGTCAGGTGGACAGAGCAGTGAAAATTATAACCAGAACTATGGACATTTTTTATGAAAATTGCAAAACCTCATAATTTATTGAGATATTCTTGGTAATTAACTTGACACTTATATTTAAAGGTAATAGTTGATATACTGACCTGTCAACGATTTATTTTGATCATGGAAGTATAACATATGAACTATCCTTGGTGTCCGCAGGAGTTTCATACAATAAAAATACACCAAATTGTAATAACAAATATTGTTTGTTTTCCCTCAGTTGTTTTTACCTAAATATTTTACAAATTTAACCAAACAAATGGTGAAACACAAACAAGTCAGCCTACACCTGAGGAGGCACACTGGAGGTGAATGTACTCTCCTTTCATAGTGTTGGTCATCTTGTGGTTCAACATCATAATTACTGCCACTAATACTCGCTAGACTTTGTCAATATAATGAATAGCAGCAGTTACCTCAATAATTAACTACCTACTTGGTGCACAGGGTGTGTGGCTCTCCTGTGGTGTAGATTAACACAAACAACAAACACTAGTGGTTTGTGTCGTCTGCCTGTTTATATCCAATGAAAATAAATAAATGATTTTGGCACATTTTAATGACACTTACTTTAAATTTAATGGTATTTGCGATTAAAAGTACTTATTTAAGTACATTTATAAGTCTTAAAAATATATAAATTCATTTGTAAAAATTAATTACACCAGAAAGACCTGTTAACACATAATGTGTTTATGAGATGGATATCTTTTGATACCACACCAGAGGAAGACCTATTAGTATATACATATATGTACATATTTATTTTATTAAACCATTAAAATATCTTATTAAATCGAATATTTTGTAAGTCATTATATATCATATACTATTTTTAAGTAATTTTATACCAAAGAAAACCTAAAGAGTAGTATAGTTTTTGTTAATAAGCTTAAAAGAACAACAAGGAGGATAAGGCCAGCAGAGGTGACTTCACCAGAACGCTTCCTGCTATAGACGCCATGACTCTGGACAAGAACAAGTCCAGTCGTCTATACTGCCAGCTGAGGAGTGACCCAACCCAAAACAATGTTGGAGTGACGAGTTTCTTGGTAATGTTGGTCTCAGACATGAAGAAATGACCTTAAAGGACATATTGATGTTTCTTTATTTCATCCAAGGTTTGTGTGAGATAATATAATATGTTTGTGAGATACAAGTTTATCATTGGACGAAGACTAGAATGAAAAGTGCTCCACCCATAACCATTACCCATCTCCAGTCTGCCTTATTATTATTTTGGTAGTTTGGTCATGTGTACACGTTGGTGGTGAGACATATAAGGATCCAGGGTTCTGTAAAAAGGGGTAGGCTTAATTTGTTCTCCCTGTCAAGTGCAGACGTAAGATAAATAAACTATCTATACATACATTGAACACAATGGAATGGAACTAAATGAAGTGTTCCAAACTATCACTGATCAATGATGTAGCAATGAAATAAAACTATTTTAATCAATCCATGGTAAATATTCGTCCATTGGCTGCCCTCAGGTTTTGATACAAATTTATATATTTTTTGGGTGTATTATGGTGAGTTTTACTCAAATCCGACCTTCATTTCTTGTGCAAATTAGCGTTTTTTAAGAAAAAAACGTTTTCATTTGTAACAAAATGGCTGTCAGGTTTGAGTAAATCACACCATAAAACACACACATAAACTAACCTAACCAAACCTAACCTATCCTAACTTAATCTAACCTAACCATTTTGGGGGAGCTTACCTGCTACTGTGGTGGAGGATACAGTTGGGCAATCTGGAGAAGGAAGTGGTGGAGGATGGGGGTTAGGGTCATCTCATACCCAAGATATATCCTGGATAGTGTCTGAAACTCACCCTAATTTAATGTGATTTCTTCCCTGGATTACAGGATTGTGTGGAGCATTTGGACATGAATTCTCAGAAGATGATCAGGTTCAATTTGTGGACATATTTGATAATGTGACCCTACCCTGCTTCCACTACAATTATGTTAACACAGAGGTGCGTGGGTTTACTTCACAGGTATGTAGTCTCAGCATGATAAATATTTGTTAACTGTAATGTTTAATTATCTTATGATACAAAGTCCATATATCCAAGCTGGGGAGTGAATATAGTAAACTAAATAGTGTTGAGGTGAATACCTATCAGAATTTGTTATATTTTGAATGAACATTTACAGAAATGTGTGAATTGTGTTGCAGAAATATATATGTTGTCCCTCAATGCACAAGAACAATGACTAATTATGTGATTTACGCTGTACAGAATAATACATACTGGAGACAGGAAGGAAAGCACTACTTGGGAGAGAAAGTCCTTCCTAATGGTTCTCTGTTCCTGACCAATGTTACTCAGGAGCAGAATGGTCACTACAAGTGTCTACGGATGCAAGATGACAGAGTTATTGAATCCATTCGATTAGTAGTTAGAGGTGTGTATCTGTCTTGTACTGAACACCATGTATGGTAATAACCAGTCATTGATTACACAATGAATATAATATAAAATATAGCATTTATTTATATATAGTCTATACAGGTTGCCCACCCCATGATTGGGGTGGGCATTATACCCCTGGTGACTTATTGCATCACCTCAAATTCCCGCTGATCAGTCGTGTGGCGATATAATAGTCTGTTTACCTACAGGCCCACCAAATCCTCCTGAGAATGTGACCATCACAGCATCAACTGTTATTGCTAAGGTGACATGGAACCTGCATCTGGAGGAGGACTGGGAATATTCCTTAGAGGGCCCTAAGACCACACTCCACCTCCTGTATCATCGAGCAGGTTCAGATGAGTGGCAGGTGTTACCACATAGCATACCTCCCTCACAGGTGGGTTTTTATACAGTTAACCCTCACTTTACGCGGTTAATGTAACCCGGAGGGTCCCGCGTAAAGTGAATAACATAACATATGGGATTAATTGAAATGGAGTCCGGGCCGATCCCCAAACTCCACTTTTTGACGACACACAACTATGTTGTAGTAAAAATTTTATCTTAAATTTATGATGGTATGAAAAAACAAGTAATATAGAAGAGGTTAGGTTAGGAAAGATAAAGGTTAACATAGGAAAAATAAAGGTAAGGTTAGAAAACTAAAAATTAGGTGTAACACTTACGGTAGTAGAAGAGATGGGTCGGCATACGGGGATGGAGGCTGGTTCCGAGGCAGAGGGCAGATTACTGGCCCTCAGGTGAATCACCATTACTAGGTGAATCACCACCACTGTCACTTACAGTTGTCAGGGCTTCCCTGACAAATCCCTCAAAGTCACCTTCACTGTCACTATCACTGGCTTGGGCTGGCTGTGGTGGGTTGAGGGCGAAGAAATCTGTTATGCTTTGCTGACGGCTGGCGTTGATGTTGTCGTGATACACCTTGATGTACGGCTCCATAGCCTGCACCAGCCGGGTATGGAAGCCATTTTACGGAACAATGGATGCGCGTTTACACGGAGTGGCCTTGAGGGATGAAACTGCCGCGGCTAGGTCAAGCATCGTCTTTCCTCCCTCCCTCCCTCCCCCGGGTGGACACGTCATAATACTTTAAGCCAATTACAGCTAGCAGCAGAGGGGGGTAGGGATGCATGGCCAATCACAGGTCTGATACGTCATATGACGTCAGTGATAACGCAACAAAGACACACACTGCGCAACCTTACCGCGCCGCTTGCCCAAGCGGAGGGAGGAGGAGGGAGAGGCAGGCAGGCAGGCGGGCGGGTGGGGCGAATCTAAAAATAGCGTCGCGCCGGACACTCTCCGCGTAATGGGGTTCACGTACCGCGTAATGTGAGCACGTGAGGTTCTGGCAAGGCACCGCGTTAACGTGGAAACGCGGAATGCGGGACCGCGTAAAGTGAGGGTTAACTGTACTGTATTTACGTAAACACATTTGGTTGGTGCTGTTTAGTAAGATTCAGTGAATTACATATAGCCAGGTTTGATCTATTAAAACATTTGGATAAGAGGACATTTTTCTGCCAGGTTGGAGGCTCATTTTTTAACATTCCAAATAAGGGATGTGTTTGTATCTGACTAGGGTCAGGGTGAGGGGTATTGTTTCACAAGTTGAGGTTCTTACATAACTCAGTTTAAGGTCATTGCCTAGTGGGGAGCCTTGAAGGTACAATAACAAATACTGTAGTTTGAAACCTGTTGGGAGCACTTAAATGGTTACTAGGATGATGAATTCAATGCGAAGTTTCACCGATAGAGGTGAAAATCTTCTCTCCCAGGTCATTGGTGCATGGTACTAGGTTGCTTCTGGTGCTCTTACCCTGGTTACTAGGATTAAGAGTGTGAGTCTTCCACACCTTTTTTACGAGTTGGTTTGATCATTCATAAACTACTTGATTCAAGTTGTAAATGGGAGATTGATTCTGAAAACCCTTTTCTAAATAAACATGGATCAGGCTGCTCATTATCTTTCCTAGAATGATTCATAATTTTCTTTTCTCTTCTAGGGTTGGTTACATATATTTAGATTACATCCCAACACAACTTACGAGTTTCAACTATGGACCTCAAACATGTATGGACAGAGCGATAATGTCACTGTCGTCACCACAACCACTCCTGCTACCACTGAAAATGGTAATTTTTATCATATGTTTTCTATATTACTCGGTGTTGTGAAGGAGCTTGCCCTATGTATACATAGAAATAGATCCACTTATATGGCTTAATTCATGACTATACTGTATACTAGTACTTACTATATTCCTATTAAACTATTTAATTATTGACTTATTTCAGAATTAGCAAAAATTGTTGGAAAAAAATTGGAAGGATTCAGCCCCAACGTGTGGATCGTTGCTGTGGTTGTGGTAATGGTTGTGTCCAATGTGCTGGTAGGCCTTCTCATAGTAGTCTATTATTTCCAGCAGAAACTTAAAAAGTCAGGTAAGTTAATGTTGACTTCAGTACTGTACTTACCATTACCGTACAGGCACACTCATAGTTATGAAAACCTTTTAAAAATTGAAGCACAGTTTCCCAAATGTTGAGGTACTGTACAGTATATTGCTACAACAAAAATCACTAAAATGTCACAGATCATTTTCAATGATGGTTATTGGTGTACACCATGATTATAAGCCCAAAAATAAACACAGTTTATGTTTTAACCTCCCCTGCTGCATCTGAATGGACCACCATTTTCATGATGTCATCAATGGCTATATGACGTCAGAGACATCCTTTAAAATTGGCTAGTATAAACTGGGCTTTAATATTCTCTTTAAAAAAAATAGGATTTCAGGATTTCAACCTCCATTTTAATACTTATTGCTCATCAGCTCATTCTATACAGTTTTGTAATAATTTTTGATTATGAGGTTTTACACGTGAACCTGTACAGTAAATTAAGAGGCCTTATCTATTTTCTAGCCGAGGCAGATGACCCAGAAAAGATTGAGTTGGTTCCACACATCATTGAAAATCCTGGATATCAAGTGGAGCAGTCTTATAGTGTGGAGACAATACATGAAAGCCTTCTCTCACCATCTACAAGTGCCCAGAGTACTGCAGTTGTTGTTTAAGAGGTCTTTGGTAATGTAAGCATTGTTATTTTAGTGTTTAGCAGATATTGAGCAACATTGCCAGTCCTTCTGATGCTCATTATAAACGTGATGAAACTGGGACTATGAGGCATCTGTCCTGTCCTTACATATTTTGCTTTAAACGAAGCACAGAATCTGTAATACCCAGCAGCCAAAACTTGACAAAAGTATCAGAGGACAAAATATGACTTGTCTGAAATTTGGAAATTCAGACTAATTTAAATTGCAGACCTCAACTTGTCTCAGGGCTTCCAAAAACTGGAAGTGTAGATCTATAAACTTCTGATATTTTTGTCGGTAGAAGAAATTTTGTTTTAATTACCGCAAAAGAAGGTATACAGTACATTAGCTGTGTTGAAAATATCTTATTTCTTTCAGGTGGTGCATTATAATGAAGAAGGTGAAGCATGGTGTTAGCCACCCTTTGCACTCTGTTGATACATTTGGTCACCTTGGCGTATAGGCTGCTTAACTCTTTCTAAATTTATAAATACATTTTCATCATCATTAATCAAAATGATTTGCAAAAAAGATTAGAATGAACTAACCTTTTCCTGTACATCTTACATGGCTGTTATTTGGTCACAAAGTAAGATGAGGCATAAAGCATCATCTTTTCATATGTCAACCACCACACACAACTTCATAAGACATTGAAGTGTTGATGACTTCCCCAGTAAGAGTAACCAAATATTTACCACAGAAATTTGTACGTTTGTTCGGTTTGGAATTATGAAGAAGTTGCTAGGTAGTAGCATTGAGAAGAGGTGTACAGTAGACAGACAAACAGTTAAAGTGGCGGGTATACGGCCAGCATCCTAAGAGGGGAAACTGGAGTAATATAGATGAGAGGGTCTCATGAGGGTGTGAGGGCTGGAAGGGCTTATTAAGAGATGGCAGCATACATGTGTGTGTGTGTGTGAGAGAGAGAGAGAGAGAGAGAAAGCTGTTTTAGCCCATTTGTGATTTGCAGAAAGAATATACTATATAGAGAATAAAGGTGTAATTAGCGAGCTACAAAGCCCTGGTTACCTGATGCCATTGTATGTTTCTGTGAGTATCACTTCCCGTATCATACACACTAGTACATGCTGAGTCTTATTCCAGCATTTCAGATATTAACCACATGGATACCTACCTGCCTACCAGTGTCAAATATCTTGTAACGATGCTCAAAATACTTGCTGGAAAAATGCACTTATAAGGTTGGTTTTGTAGTAAATAGAACAGCTGGCAGTACTGTAGCTGGTGCTCCCAGTACAATAATATGACGACAACTTCTCTTGATATACTGTACTTTTGAGGGACAGTAGAAATACTTAAAAGAAGGAATGTGAGTTTCACAATACAATAAAATATAAAAAGGAATGGCAAATACTAATATCTTTAGTATACAGTGCACAGTTAGGGACTCCAGGAAAGGTACAGTACTGTGCTGGAATACCTGTGTATTTGTTGCTGACTTTTTAAGAAGCTCTAGTGTGCTTATGGCTATACAGTACATTAATGTCATTTGTGAAGAAGCTTTAAGGAACATCTTCCTTTTTTGATGCTTTACCTTACAGGTGTGGGTGCTTTACTGCGTAAACTTGTCTAACATATATACTACCTGCCATTATAGTGAGCTGTGACATATAGGATGTTTATATAGTACTGTATGTATAATTTTCTCAATTTACAGTAGTCTTAGAATTTGTGTGTTACTAGAAAGAGACAACCTCAGCATGTACAGTACAGTACAGTACAGTACTTTTTTTAATATTTTCATCGATTGTAACCCCTCGGATATATCACAATCATCAGAAGCACCTCACTATTTCATGGCACAAAATGCGGAACTTCCTCTTATATCACAGAGGGGTGATCCAACTGTCACAACCTGTGGCACACCGGCAAGGCTTGCCGAGTCTTTGGACATTTTGACCATAATAACTTTTGGCTAATACTGTACGTACTTGTGGGCATTTCACTTGTAATTATATAGCTACCCTTCTCTAATTGTAGTTACAAATTGATTTTTATTTTAAATACTGTATTGATACAGAACAGTAGAATCATTAATATCTGGCACTTAACAAACCAAAATTTTCAGATCAGTTTTTTCAAGGATCCCTCAATATAAATTTATTTTTAAGGAACTACAAACCATTTGTATGAGTCATGTTTTGGAATGCTGTATGCTCTGTGTACTGGACTCCGGTGGTAAATAGAACCTGCAATAATTCCCAGTCACTTACTGGTTAATCACTTTCATATGGAACTTGCAGTGTTTTGTGTTGCTGTTTCCTACATTAAGAAGTGTTGTGCAGGCAAAGTGTTCACAACAACATCAACTTGCCTACTGATCTGTTATGGTTCAACAGGAGCATTCAGAGTACTGTAGTAATGAAGAATTACTGTACAGTATATTGACTTATATGTGATGCCACGATGCAGTCGCCACTTGATGTAGCCTGAGAATAAGAAAGTGTGAGCTGAGTAAGAGTTGCTCAACAAGTATACTGTGGAGAAAGAATAGGAGGATGGAAGTATGAAAATATACAAGTAAAGATAAAGGGAAACAATAAGAGCAGCTTTAAGCTTTATTACTGCATTACCTTTTAAGTACAGTCCTTTTAAGTACAGTACTGCACAATGCAGCTGGACTTCTTGTTGTATGCACTGTGAATGTGACCAATCATAAGTTCTATAAGTAAAACTGGATGCTTCTCCGGGGTGCATCGTCCTGGATCATCGTTACAGCTACAGTATTCAACTTATCACCGCACATTAATAAAGACAATCATCAATTCATTAGTTACCTCGGGGGGCCGGTGGTAGAAGCGGTATCGCTCTTGCCTCGCAAGCAAGATGTCACGGGTTCGATTCCCGGGCCGGTGGAAGTTGTTTGGACATTCTTCCTAGCCCCCATAATATCCCTGTTCACCTACCAATAAAGTAGGTACCTGTTGTAAGTCGAAAGTTGCGAATTCGTATTTAGGGAGTTGTTGGAGCTTCCAATAACTTGATGACATGAACCATTGACTCTTCAGGCTTCTACGCCCTTAACCCATGAGACATAAAGGCAAGCATGAACTTAGCATGCTTCCCTGTTGGGCGCTGTAAACACTTCTGCGCTTCACCTTACACAAGAATGGAGGGGAGTGCCCAATAAAAAAAAAAAAATCATTACCTCCATCACAAGACAAAAACATCAATATGGTTAACATATTTGGAGCCTTACACACAAGCCTTTTTGATTAATGTCTTTAGTTAATGTTTTTTCTGATTCTTTGAAGTTGGTAATTGTTTAATAGGCAAAGTGCAGGTATACCAAGCTGGACCAGATGTATTATAAACACCTCTAAGAATTCTTACTTTGATGTGTGTCAGTTTTCTTTGATTCTGGAGTGCAAAGGGTTAATTATTATAAGGGTTTTTCTTTTTCTTTTCACAAATGGATTTTTCTTGTGGGATAAAAGAATAGAACATGATATGGGAATTGCATTTATAAGAACAAATAGTTTACACTTACTGTATTGCAACGCTTCCTCAACCTCAGGTCCAACGGTTATGGAAAAGTGTGAACCGTGCACCTAATATATATGTATTTAATGTTGCAATTTGTATTTTCATAACAGAATGAGGAGAATACAAATTTTAGTTTGTGATAATTATCACATGACAACAAAAGACATAAACTTAGTATAATCTTTATGATGGGAAAACTTGACGGGGAAAAGGAGTGAGAATATTTCTAGTTAAAAACCTGAGGACAGATGCTCTCTAGTGGAGGTAAAGAATATAGCCATTTTTATGTTAATCTACCAAAGGTGTTCATTTGATATTGTTAAATATCTTTTTTTATATGCAAGACTGGTGAATATGTTGTATGATTTGTGAATATGTATTGTAAATAGTTTTGTTTTAGCATCCAGACCTAGGAGTCAAAAGTTACTGTCATGGCCACCTCAAGCGTCATTCAGCTCCACCCTCGTGATATTTTGGTATGTAATTGACTGCATAGAATTTTGAGATTATTAGTATCCGTAATTATCTATATGTTGCAAAAACTTGTGTAGATGTATATAGATTATTTGAATGGTTGCTTTAGTTCTTAAACATATCTGGTCAAGTGAAAGTAGTGAGGTAAAATTAATTCAAGTTTGCATTTATGTTATGTTTGTTCTTGATATTGTCTATGTTGGTGTTGTGCAGGAGAGTGAGGAGAGATTTTTATTTGTTTTTCCCATTAAGAAGTACAGAGGTAGTTAGTAGTACCATGTACTGTAGCTTGCTGGTTTAATATTGATATTTTAATCAAGATTATTTTATTATCACATTCATATTATTGTCACCCAGTACAGTAATGACATTTAAAGGGAAGAAGAATATTTGAACATAACTGGGTATAGTGTTCATCTTTTATATTCTAGATTAATTAATGTTTATTCATATGTCTCTATAGGTTACTGGTATATAATTTGAGAATGTAAGTGAGAGTATCTTACCTTTACATGAGTTTGTGTTGTGTTTGAGCCATGACAAAAAATTTTTATGAAGTTTTTGTTGGGTGATAAAGAAACAAGTCAGTATTACTAATGATGATGATGTACCACATACAGTAGTGAGCTGACACAAGAATAATTAGGAAGACCATATTTTTACACAATTGGTGAAATAAAATAATGCCTTTGTAAAAAAAAATAGTACAGTTTTATGATTATAATTAGGGATAATATGTTGTACAGAATACTCCAGATGACTCTTGTAAGACAGACTGTATTGTGGGGATTAACTTATTACTGTAATATATTTTGGTATGAACCTCACCACTGCTGCTTTTTTGCATTAGTTTATCATTGAGGGTTTTGTTATATCATCGATGGGCAGCTTCCACATTCTCTACAATATTCCTGGCCAGGGTCCTACTGATTAATGTTCTCCACTGCTTTAGTGGGGGTCTGCATATATTTTTATCTTGTCTCTTTTGAGTTGGTCTGTTTTTTTCTCAGGCTTGACCCAATTTCTTGAGGAGGTCTGTCATGCTGTTGTTTCTTGGTATTCCCCCAATTCATCATTGAGAAGACCCTCCTCATACCCAGCATTATATATCAGTGAAGCTTTAGCAGTAGCAAAGTCTAGAATAGTCCTGTTCACATTTTTTAACCTTAGAGCAGAACTTCCAGGTTTTGGTGTGCTACAACCTGCTAGGGTTTTGTGTTTTTACCTGTAAATATTTCTTTAGCTGGTCTTCCTCTGAGTCTGTGGTACAATGTCCGACTTCTTCTCCAAGTTGTAGCTTAAAAACACGTTCATGTCCTTGTGGGATAGTATTTTTGCTATTACTTAGGGGTTCATTTTCTTTTTACTATATAAGCAGTGAGTGAGAACTGTTGCTTTTTATCTTCTTCTATTCCTGCTAATGATTTATTTCAAAGGCACCACAAATTTTTCCCCTCAGGATAGAGAAAGTGGTGGGGCCTCTCACTTGTTGAAGTACAATGATATTAAGTGGACATTATATCATTTCTCATATATTACTGCTTACAGCCTGACCATAGTAATCTGTCAGCTTTTCAGTTTTCCATTTAACCATTCATAAAATCATTTTACTGTTACTATAGTTTTATTAAAGGTACTCCATGGTAACCACAGCTTATAAAGGACCACAAATGGTAGCTGTAGATTCTTGAGGTCAGCTCACACATGTTGTAAGATGGTACATAGTAAGAATTTAAATTTTTCATGTGAGGGATGTTATCATTGGAGATGATAATGTGCAATATAGAATTAGGGATCATTGTATATTGTGTTTATAGCTGTAAGTTATATACAAGGAAACCTCCATATAACAGACCTCTCTCTCCATATAATCTGTGAGGTGGGGGTTTCACATCTTACAGACAGTCGATATAATGGACTTTTTTCTCCATGAAGTGCGTTAAATAGAGGTTTCACTGTACTGTGCTGATGTAATACTCCCATTTACATTGTCAAGTTAGGTAAGATGATCTGTTACTGGTAAGTGATGGAGGTAAGATCCGATGGAGGACTTTAAGTTGACTTCAATGTATGGTTACTAAACCAATGCCAAATTTATTTTACACGCTTAACAAGAGCAGCAGGTACCTTGTTATTAGGTACAGTGCAGAAATATTGTTTCTTGGGTGTCAAAGTAATCATTAGTAGTGTACACTCACTCAAAATACTATTTTGGACAAAATTGTGTTGACAAAATATGACAATGGAAGAATGATTTTGACAACCCTGCCGAGACAACAGGAATCCAGTATTCATTCTGAAATTAAATTGACCCTCACCAGGTCAGATAGTTTTTTGAGTGACTGTACATGTCATCCTTGGGGAGTT